TCGCCATCTTAGTCATGACATGGTGAGTATCTCTGTGCTCTGTATGAGAATCGGGCTTTCAGGCAAGAACAACTGTTAAGACGAGGATTCTGTACAACATTCAGGGACATCACTAAACCATGTCTTATTCCATGTTTTACTGGTCCAGCGACGAAAACCCAAATGGTACATTGTCATATTTACATTTCTGTGAGTGAATCCAAACCTCATAATGCTAATCAATACAAAACAATGACAGAACTGGACTTTTTCTGAACAGTTTTACTAAGATCCTGATCCATCTAAAATCATGAATGTATTTAAATGATGTTCATGGGGAGGGGGTCGAAGATAAAATGAGATAATAAAGTTTATCAATCTCAGAATGGAGAAATTCACATTTAGCATAGATAGTATCACTCAGATTGTGCAAAAAGACATGAAGTTTGCAAACGGTTATAAATATAGTCTGTGCAAATTTTCACTTCTTTTCCACTCTGTCTTGAACAAACAAATTGTAAAATTGTGCGTTTTGTTCGTTTGTTTTTGTCCGTGTCGCCCTAAAAGCAAATTAGACAAGAGTGGATAGCACTGTTGCTACTCAGCAAGAAGGTCCAAGGTTCAAATCCCGGTCGGAACAAGGTCTTTCTGGGTGGTGTTTGCATGTTCTCACTGTGATGTGTAGGCTTCCTCCAGGTGCTCCGGTTTCCCCTAACACTAAAGACATGCACAATAGGTCTGAATGTAACGAATGAATGGATGGTGTTTGGTCAGAGGCTTTAATGGTCCAGTGTGTTCGGCGTCTCGCTGTACAAATGCGCTATATAAATAAACTACTCACTTACTAAATAGAAATACATTTGTAAATATAATTATAGAAATAGTAAATATACCAATGCATGGTCAAAACTATGGTAAATGCTGTGGCTTGATATTTATGTAAACACTTGTAATGGTGTAATGGTAATGGTACATGGTACATGAAGTAATGCATGAATTAATGCATGATTTCATGATACATTCATGCATTACTAGATCATGTTTATATATTTAAGATAAGATAATCCATCCATCCATCCATTTTCTTCCGCTTTATCCGTTGCGGGGGCAGCAGTCTAAGCAGAGACGCCCAGACTTCCCTATCCACACACACTTCCTCCAGCTTGTCCGGGGGGACCCCAAGGCGTTCCCAGGCCAGCTGAGAGACATAGTCTCTCCAGCGTGTCCTGGTTCTTCCCCGGGGCCTCTTCCCGGTGGGACGTGCCCGGAACACCTCCCCAGGGAGGCGTCCAGGAAGCATCCTGAACAGATGCCCGAGCCACCTCAACTGGTTCCTCTCGACGTGGAGAAGCAGCGGCTCTACTCCGAGCTCCTCCCGTGTGACCGAGCTCCTCACCCTATCTCTAAGGGAGCGCCCAGCCACTCTGCGGAGGAAGCTCATTTCGACCGCTTGTATCCGCGATCTCGTTCTTTCGGTCATTACCCAAAGCTCATGACCATTACCACAACGGTCCGATACAGCGACCGCATCACGCACGCTGCACCGATCCGCCTGTCAATCTCACGCTCCATCATCCCCTCACTCGTGAACAAGACCCCGAGATACTTGAACTCCTCCACTTGAGGAAGGACCTCTCCACCCACCTGAAGAGGGCAAGGCACCTTTTTCCGGTCGAGCACCATGGCCTCGGATTTGGAGGTGCTGATTCTCATCCCAGCCACTTCACACTCGGCTGCAAACCGCCCCAGTGCATGCTGCAGGTCCTGGTTCGTTGGAGCCAGCAGGACGACATCATCCGCAAAAAGTAGAGATGAAATCCTGTGGTTCCCGAACCGGACCCCCTCCGGCGCCTGGCTGCGCCTAGAAATTCTGTCCATAAATACAGTGAACAGAACCGGTGACAAAGGGCAGCCTTGGCGGAGGCCAACATGCACCGGGAACAGGTCTGACTTACTGCCGGCAATGCGAACACAGCTCTGACTCCGGCCATACAGGGACCGGACGGCCCTCAGCAGAGGACCCCCAACCCCGTACTCCCGGAGGACCCCCCAAAGGACACCCTGGGGAACACGGTCGAACGCCTTCTCCAAATCCACAAAGCACATGTGGACAGGTTGGGCGAACTCCCATGAACCCTCGAGTAAGGAAGATAAGATAAGATATGCTTTATTTATCTCACAAGGAGAAATTTACATGTCACATTTGGCACGGATAGGAACACTCAAGATTGTGCAAAAAGAGAGGAAATGTGCAAACATATTGATGCAGGATATATTATGTACAATAAAAAAGTGGCAATTTAAAAGTGGCAATCAGAAACAGTGTCAATAGTAATGCAGGTTTTTCAGTCTTAATGCAGTGATTTAAAGTGACTTCTTGTACAGTCTGACAGCGGTGGGGATTGCATGTATATGTATATACTATAAAAAGCAACAAGTTCACCAGACTAACTAAGAAATGTAAATATTGATAAAGTATAATCTCAGTTTGAATGAATAAAATCATTATATCAATGTTTTTAATCTTTAATCCAGACACATAAATAAGATCCATGCAACACATAACAAATAGAGGAAAACAACACACAAACATACACTAAATCAACCAAATCAATCTTTGAACTTGTGTTAGCAAAAGTAGCATTCTAAAATCATCAAAAAATCTGTCTGAAATGTGAGAATAGCAACAACACTAAAAACAGAAGTAGGTTTGTGGGTCACATTTGTCACACTGTGTGAAGAATATTCTATTGACTGTACTGCGCAGTGCTACAGAAGAATACCTGGATCGCTGCTGCTGTTAGTGTTTGATAAAGCAAACAAATAGAACCACCTCAAAGGCAGCTATTAAACCACCGCCGCACTCAGCCTCGGCAATCCTTAATGTGAGCTCTAATTTACCTCATCATTGAATCCACTAAAATGTTCATTGCTTTGAGTGGTTGTTTTGATGTTATTATATTAAGAGCATTAAATTAGTTACAAGCGTCATTTTGGAGGCCACAGTTCAAATGCAATGTCACAGTCTGTAAACACCGTGTCATCTACAAGGAAGACAAATCCCAAAGTTATTTTAGACGCACACCCAAATTGGACAACATGCAAAGTGGATTTTTGCCGCTTTTTGAAAGTATTTTGACGGAATATCATACAGAAAAAAGGGTCATTGTTGTGTCTATCCATCCACGTCCAGGAGGGTTGTGTGTGTGTGTGTGTGCGCGCGCATGTGTGTGTCTATGAGAAAGAGAGAGTGTGTGTGGGTGTATGCATGTGTGTGTGTGTGTGTCTATGAGAGAGAGAGAGTGTGTGTGTACATGTGTGTGTCTATATGAGAGAGAGAGAGAGTGTGTGTGTACATGTGTGTCTATATGAGAGGGAGAGTGTGTGTGTGGGTGTATGCATGTGTGTGTGTCTATGAGAGAGAGAGAGTGTGTATGTGTGTCTATGAGAAAGAGTGTGTGTGTGTGTGTGTGTGTGTGTGCATGTATGTACTGTATATGTGTGTTGGCATGTGTGTGTGAGTGAGAGAGGTTTTCAGAAGTTATTTTTAGAGTTTTTGTAACATTTTGTGAATAAATAAGACCCCCTTTGTCTCACCTTATTTGAAAACATTGCATCTTCTTCATACTGACAGCTGATTGGCCGAGTAAGGGCTGGTCCTCTCTTTTTCAAAAAAAAAAAATCTGACATACATATATGACAGAGGCCAAAACTGCAGGCATATAAAAACTTGCTTGGATGTAGTGATATGGATCTTTTTTCATTGATTTTGTAATTTCAAAGTTCGGTTTTCCAACTTCAACTAATCCACATTGAATAAGTAAAAACAGTTACAAACTATTTTTATGTTTTTAGTTTGGTTTTGCTTTTTTTGCAGCATGCAGAATTTTGTTCTGGCCGTACGCTTAATGGGTTAACCAAAGAATGACCGTGAATAGCAGCGGTTGAGTGTAGGCTGTTGTGTTAGCATTGACACTGGGACATTGGGAGGCAGCGGCTGAGGCCCCGGGAGAGGAGGCCCATTGTTCTTACATAACACTGCAGTTATGTGGGTGCTCAAAGCCTCCTCATCAACACCAACACATACCACTACAGAGAAAAGAGACCGGATGGTACCTCCAAATGTACGTGTTCAATGAGCCATGTCTGTATTCATAGCATGTGGATAATGTGGGTCTATCAGGTTTGGGAAAAAAAAAGAAAATATTTATAGGGAAAAGGACATGCAAAAATCTGATACTGTATATCTTAATTGTTTTATTAAATTTCGACATTTCCCCACTGTGGGACGAATAAAGGAATTCTTATTCTTTTATTATGTATACTTGTGAGAAATTGAACACAGATCCATCCAGTGGGTGTCATCTCTTTCTATAACATCTATAATGTTTTGGCTCAATGTTTTTAAATGGCAACCCTTGGGTCTCAGAAGCGCTGTTTCCACCAGCCTTACTCTACTTTTCTCCACTCTTCTACACTTGTGCCTCAGCTAATCAAGTTTCAGCGTGCGGCATTCAGAAAGTGTTTACTTCCTCTTCCCTCAGCTTTCAGCTCTGCCTCAACACTGGGCCTTTTCTCTGCAGTACACTTTAAAATAATGCATATTTTTGACCAAATCACTATAAAAAAAACTTTAAATAAAATAGTTAGTATTTTATCCTTGGTATGACAACCAAAAACATTTGCTGGAGGAGAATTTTGCTAATGGCACAGAGCCTTGTCTTTGTGTTTATATTTCAAATTTAGGTCGTCCAATCAGGAAACAGTGGAGGTCAGAATGGGCGTGTCTAACCAGTGCTTGCATTTAAACAAAATATTTCTCTAAAGAACAAACGTGACAGGCATGTTTCAGCATAGACAAAAAATGGATACATCTCTGAATCTCGTCATTGAGATTAAGAATTTAGTTATGTTCATTTTTGTCAATAATTGTCAATAATATTAATAGTCACCAGGAACACAGGTCTAAAACATCCCTCTCTAACCAATCTTGAGACATTTGGGGGTCTGCTAAACCTCCATCACTGAACCAGTCTGCTCCACATCCTCCAGGCGAACGCCACATGAACTATGGTTTGGATGACGACAAGCGAGAGCAGAGAGAGACGAGGATGAAAGACGGACAGCCCATTAGTTTTCTCCCCACACAGACACCAGGGAGTCGCGCTGGACGTATCGGCTCTAAATTGACTTTGGGGCCTTGAGGACATTGGGTTGGCATGTGGCCAGATTACACAGCGTTTCCAGCCGCCTGCAAAGCCACATGTGTCTTTTCATGGTCAATGGACTGTGCTAGACTTTGATCATTCACGGCGGATCTGTATTAGAATACGATTTACCATAAGTAGGAAGCTGCTGTGTCGCGAGGATGTCTGCTCCCATGAACTGACAAATCTGCTCTGTATCACTGCATACATAAACACATGGTTATAAGTAAGTATGTCATCTTTATTTATGTGTTTATGTTGTGCCCTTCTCAGACACAGTCACAAAGAGATTTACCAAGGCTGTGATGCAGGGTCATACAGGAGGCGTATGTACAGTGGTTGGGGAAACTGGAACACCCAAAGGAAAAAAACTATAGACAGAAAAGTCTCGCCAGGAGATGGAATCGAACCAAGGAATTTCTAACATATTAATTGAATAATTTTGTTGTGCAACAGTATAGTAGTTCTTTGATACTCTTACACTAATCTCTCATCTGTGATGCTGGAGATTCATGGAGGACTATAGGCACAAAGGATCTACACGTTCCGTTCTGCAGTGCAGTGATAAAGGCCTGTTGCTGATTACTCCTCTGAGCGGCCATCGTGTCATGCAGAGGGTGACTGGAGTTACCCAGGATCAAACTGTTAATCAACATTGACATGATTTCATACCTAAATGCCTCATTTGCCTTAATCCAGTCAATTTTATAATCTTGGTTGTCAGCCCCATCCTAAAAAAAGTGGCTGAGTGGATAGCACTCTCGCCTCTCAGCAAGAAGGTCTTGGGTTCAAATCCCGGTCTGAGTGAAGTCTACATGTTCTCCCTGTAGGTTTCCTCCGGGTACTCCGGTTTCCCCTACCACTAAAAACAAGCTGACTAGGTTAAATCCTCCAGCTAAGTCCTGACCAAGTCGAGCATCAACATCTGGAGATGGGTTCCTGGGAGCTGTTACTACGGCGACCACTGCTCCTGACATAAGTCTTCGCAGCATCAGGATTTGTCAAATGCAGAGGATTGAATTAGCCTACGGGGATTAATAAAGTGCACTTTTACCTTATCAAGACGAGACGATAAAGCAGAGTGAACAAACCAAAACAATTACTATTGCACTGAAATATTAAATCAACATGATCGACTTATGTCTAAAACTCAGACACCACTATGATTATTTTTTTTATCATTTTGTTTCAAGAAAGGTTGGACCATTTTTTCAGTGAAACATAAGTCTGTGATTGTGTCGAAAGCTGAGGTCAGACCAGGTCGAGTCACCGCAGGATTCACATCTGCCATGGGTGATTACGAAGGAGAAGAGAGAAATCATCACTCACTCTGACAGCAAAAGTTTTCTTACTGTTGATCCCAGGCTCCAGGTTTTCTTAGAAACGTTCATTCTCCTGATCGCCCGCAACCATTTCTTGCGTTTTTTGCTGCTCTTTTCTGAAGGAATTTGAAAAAAACCTTTATCTGGCCCCAGCGAGCCGCACATCCGACCACACAACAAGAGTGGACCGTTTTAATTAGTAAAACCTCTTCATCTAAAACAATCCAGTTAGCTTTTGTTTTGCCACAGTCACATGACCACAACTATAAACTGTTAGAGGTTTTCTCACAGACCTCTGGTGATTCGTATCGACAGAATCACCGCTGCTGCTGCCATCAGTGGGAGTGAGTGGGAGTGAGTGGGTGTGGATACTTTTGGACTATTAGGCAGCGAGGAAGTGGCATTTTGTCAATTTACCGATGATTACGAGCGTTTGATAGTTACACCCCATTAGAGGAAACGCTTCACTGATTCCATTATTGTCTTGGAGAGGTATTTACACATGGAAGTTAACTCATGCTCTTACATAATAGGGATAAGCAGTAGTGGCTCCATCTACGGCTGCAGCTGTAAAGTGCCAAACTGTAATGGTGCTCTTAGGCAAGGCACTTCACCCACATTGCCACAATGAGTCTGGGGTGCAAAGTGATATATGGTGGTGGTTGAAAAGGCTGATGGCACATACTGGTCGCCTCGCTTTTGTCTGTGCGCTCCAGGGCAGCTGTGGCTACAGTAGCGGTTTTTCACCACCCGTGAGTGTCAAAAAAGTGTTATATAAAACTGATACATTATTGTTTTTATTACTTTTAGTTGCTTCTGCCAAGTTGTATTAAAATTCCAGTTTACCTTCAGGAAGACCACGCCATACTGGATTTAAATGTAAATATACCAGAATGAGTTGATGCTTGCTTGTCATCTACAAACTCATTGCTCAAGTTTTTCCACATACTTTCTACTGGATAAATGATTTCACATTCTAAAACATGAAAAGCCAAAGTTAATATCCTCAAGATCACGTCTAAGGGACAAAAGAAGCACCAACGATGCGTCATATTTGTTGAATTGCAGAGTGGACTCACCGGCGCGTTGTGCTTGTGTCAGTTTAGAGTAGACCAGGTCTGCAGACTCAATCAGGATCCTGCTGGTCTGGATCATCTGCGGTCACAAAGAATAAATTGGTTTAAGAACTCAAATTATGCAAAACGGACTCTTTTGATCCTATAATTATGAAACGACATTCTTACATCATGAATTAGAGTTTATCCTTCCTGTACATACGATATTCACAGCTGGGCTCAAACCACAATGTCACAAATCAATATAACTAGTCTCTAATGTCCACATGCACACATTTATTATTATTAATATTTGTTTATGTTTTTTTAATGCGATTTTAACTGTGTTTTTGGTGCTCTATAAATAGATTGAGTGATTGATTTTTTTTAAATTTTATTCTATCAAACACAACAAATAGTTTACAAACATAGAAAAAACATTTAAACACAAATTCTATGATCTACAACTTGATGCAGACCAATCCCCGACCGGACCCACAACTCACAGTTTCGCATGCGCAATTTTTTTAACAAAAAGATATAGATGGGACTTATTTTTCTTTATTTTCAGACCAATAAGTGACAAAGAGAATGACTGGGACTGAAGTTGTGTTGTTGGGTAAGATAATCAAAGCTTGGGTACCTAATTTTCAAACCCCAAAACAATCTGCTATGTAATAATATCCATCTAATTATCACTCTTTGTTCTAATGCTAATTCTCACAGGTATTTTTTCTAGCTTTTTAGACAGTGAAAAAAAGAGACCCACCCTCACCCAGCTCAATAAAAGTGACTCACTTGCCTTTTTTTTGGTAAAAACAACATGTTTTCTGTGGAGTCGAAGACAGTGTGTGTGGGTCTGATTTGCACTCACTCTGGGGCAAAGACATTTTAAGCCGGGGAACCTGACTTTTTCATTTGTTTACATTTTGGTTTATTCGCTGATGTGACACGCTAAAACTGGGCTAAGACGGGCAGGGCCTGGTTAGTGCTGTGATGGGAGACATTCAAGACCGGATTCAGCTGCATCCACATTGCGGCTGTGGTATTTGTTTGAATGCTTGGTGGTGGTTGGGAAACTAAATTGTTTTTTATCTTGATTTATTAAGCACTTTGACTTGCCTTGTGTATGAACTGTGCAACAACAAAAAAATTGCCCTACCATGGTCAATCCAACACTATCTTCGGCCTGAACAATTTTGTGCTATGACTAATAGAATGATTAGTTGAAATACAACCAAAGAACTGGTGATGTTCAACTTTCTGTAATCTCTTTTTGTAAGTGGAGCATGATAAAGTAATCCTACATCTGCAGTCTCCACATATTTACGCTCCATGCGCTCTAATCTAATTATCTCGTCATTAGCCCTTTGCACTGTAAATGTATTCAATTATTATCAGTACGATCCCAATCACAGATCCCCAGACACAGGCTTTCTAATTAAAATGCATATGGTCGATTATTCTCCCTGTGCAGAGAGATATATGGGTGTAGCACTGGTCTGAGCGCTGTGTCCTTCAACGGCAACAACAAAGTCACCACAAAATGCAATCAATCATTATGTATTGTAAGAGGAAACAAGGATTATGTTTGTACATTTCAAAACTTGATACATGCATTTTGTTTGGTACAGCCTTTTCAAACAGGGTATAAACAATTGAATGTATGGAGTATGTCATAGTCAATCCTGTATGAAACATGCAATGTATAGAACATACATAACAACAAACTAATATTTCTTTATGCAAAAATATTATCATGTTTCATAAAAAAAAAAAAAAAAAGATTGACAAAGAAAAGACATATCTCAAAGCAATGGGAAGAAGTAAATATTTATCTAAGTAAGGCCACACATGTACAAATTAAACTAAAATGGAGGTTCAGACTGGAAGACTGCATCTGCAACTGATTTTATTCTGTTTGGTGATACACATGTTTTAAATGATGGTTTACTGACTTGTAACTGTAAACCAACTGTCAGAAACCTTGGTGTTGTCTTCGAAAACTCATTTCGTTTTGAGAAACAGATTGACAGTGTGGTCAGGTCGAGTTTTTATCAGCTGCGTATTTTAACTAAGGTTAAGCCTTTTTTAAACCGCTCTGACCTGGAGAAAACCATCTACGCTTTTATAAGTTCTAGAATTGATTATTGTAATGCCCTTTATTTTGGAGTCCCCCAGTCCTGTCTTAATCGTCTCCAGTTGGTGCAAAATGCTGCAGCTCGTTTTTTAACAAACACTCCCAGACGTGTCCACATCACCCCAGTCCTTTTTTCTTTACATTGGCTTCCAGTTTCTTTTAGAGTTGATTTTAAAATTATTCTTTTTGTTTTTAAAGCCCTCAATGGTCTCGCCCCTGCATACCTGTCCGAACTTCTAACAGTTCGTAACTCGGGCAGATCACTGAGGTCATCAGATCAGCTTTTACTGGAAGTGCCCAGGACTCGGTCCAAACATTGGGGTGATCGAGCCTTTTCAGTTGCTGGACCAAACCTCTGAAACAAGCTGCCCCCTGACCTACGCACAATCACTGACTTTGGCCTTTTTAAATCTAGACTTAAGACATATTTATTCAGACTGGCTTTTAATACTCAGTAGCACGGCGACACTTTAGTTTCTAATGGTTTTATTGTTTTGTATTGCTTAGCTGTATGAATGTTTTTAACTGATTTTTTTTTTTTTTTTTGTAAAGCACTTTGGTCGCCTTGTGTGGTGTAAAGGGCTCTATAAATAAAATGTGATTGATTGATCGACCTTTCATATCGTGCAGCAACCCTCCTCCTCCCAATCACCCCCTCGTCAGCCGGACCACCTCTTTAACCCTTCTCTTAGCAGCCACCAGCGGAGTCTAGGCCACAGCGGGTTTTATCTTGTATTTTTTATTTCATACTTCTTTATTTTCTATAGTCTATCCACCAAATCTTTACCTAATTTCATTTACAACATGCAATAAATGTCATTCTTGCATTTAATATGTTTTTCGTGCTATTTCATTAAGGGCCAACCAATAAATATCATTTTAAAAATCCCCTTTTGTCTGTTTGAGTCCTTCCAGATTGCCTTATTCATACCACTTATATACTGTACACGTTGATATTAAGTTAAAACATTCAAAGACATCTTTAAACGAATATTGAACCGTGGAGTCCCATTTTTTCCGGTTTCGGAGCAGAGTGCAGATCCATCTTGTTGCACTGTTGATAAAAACGGCAAATTCAGCTGTAGATTTCTCACAACGTTCCCCTGTGTCCCACTACACACTCTCTTACTCATCCTTAGCCTTGAGTTGCGAGAAAACACAATCCCTGGGGCTCTGACAATCTCACGCTTTTCACCTGTGTTTTGCGAGTTGTGCACGGGCTGCGCTCTCCTCCCACGGCTGCGGAGGAATATTTGAGGTTTGCATAAGACGAGAAATCGATATGAACCGTGGAATATTTGGCACAAGGTTACAAATTCCCTTTCTCGTCAAGTTGAATCTACAACGTGTTAATGAAGGACGCCTGGATTTGAAGTCAAAGAAAAGCGGTATTAAACTATGCCATATTTAAAAAAATATTAAACAACAGGGGGTACTGATCCAGGGAGTACACAGGGCAAAAAAAGGTTGGGAACCACTGGTCTAGCTTATAGCATGTTATGTATGAAAGCAAAAAAATAATGAAGCAGATTCTATTTGTTGTGTGAGCAAAACCTTAACCAAAAAGTTCAATTCAAAAGTATTTGTTGATTCACCAGCTCTGGAGTTAGTTATAGGAACTTTTCCGACTCATTGCCTACTTTCTTTCTAAGCAACAACTGAATTAACTCGGAGAGAAAAAATGTGTATATATAAGACCCCTGCACACCGTCTGTTTTGTTCAACCCGGCAGAGTAAACTTTTCCAGCAGTTAAAAAGTTGTGCTCATTGTAGAAAGAATTGTCTATTTTGCAGCGTGTAAGAGCAGTATCGCATTGTGTTTGTTAGAAAATGTCTAAGTCAACATATACCCCCACAGTCTGAGAAAGCACAGCGGCCACTTTTCGTTTCAAACAAAGAAAAAGCCCTGCTCCCATCTGCCCCAGTCTTTGTCACCTCAATGAAAACTGCATAGATGAGTTCGGTTAGAATTCAATTAGAATGAGTCTGGTGTGTGTGTGAGTGGTCGGAGGGGCCGATGGCACAGACTGGTTGCCTCGCTTCTGTCAGTGTGCCCCAGGGCAGTTGTGGCTACAGTAGTAGTTTATCACCACTGTGTATGGAGTGAAAGAATAATGACATGTGAAGCTTTTGTGAGTGTCCAGAAAAGCACTGTATAAAACCAATGCATTTTTATTATTATTATTATATTATCATAAATTATTTGTGTGGTGGCGAAGATACAGGCTGATTTTGAAGTCTTGTTTCAGTGTATGTGAAGGTCTCACTGTTAGATCCATCCCTCCATGTTCTTCCCCTTAATCCATTACTGGGTCGGGTGGGTGGCAGTCAGTGCTGCACCCAGTACACAGAGCACCAGCCCCTCACTGATCCTCCTGCAGGTGGTGAGTCCACAGGAGCCTTGATCTTTCAGCGGGGACCTCAGGCAAAGAGGGGTTAAGTGTCTTGCCCAAGGCAACGACACACAACGACAGCAGTCATCAGTGGGAAATCACTGTTAAATCATTGTTGTAAATATGTGGAAGTATTATGTCTTTAGTTAGTTAAAGGTATATAGGAGGATTATCCAAAATTTTAGGAAAGTCCCGCCCCTCCGCTTTTTGAACGAATCTCTCTGGTCTTATTTGACGAGCACGTATCACCAGAATGATTGACAGTTTGGTTCATAACACATAGGTTTTACATGTGCATTGTTTTGAAATGTAAAATATTGCCGATGTACAAAAAATCCTCTCGTAATTAGCAGTCTGAAGTTGCTCTGCCGAGGTGAGTGAACTGACAGACAGGGGGTGACTAAGGACAGCCTGCTCCTACGGTGGCCTGCTTGGGTCAACGTCTTCTGCACAAACACACACAGCTTTCAAACATCATGGCCGCACAGTGAGATCTCTGTTTTCAAATGGGACGCGGGCCAAGGGGGGCGATGAGTGGGAAGAAACCCAAACAGTCAGCTGACAGTGGCCCGCGTCTCAGGACAAAGATGAATGGAGACCACTTTAGTTCCGTCCAATTCTCACATAAATTGGTGCATTTTTCGGAGATTTCTTTGCCGCGAAGGGCCTGACGGCTTGTTTTACTAATGCGGGACAACAGCACACTTTGTCACAGAAAGAGTTGAAGAGGGTGTGAATTGGGAATCCATTTTTCTCGCACAGTGGAGCCACATTAATCGGAATAAGACAAGGAAGATGTATTAAGTCTTTATGATGTCCAAGAATTCAAAAAATGCCTTTCAAACCAAAATAACAGCAAATAACTTAATAGACACACAATGTATATACACACTATATACAATGTCATTGTTTCTTTCATTCTGCATTTCAAGCCAATGTATTGAAATAGAATTAGGAGATTATTCGTCCCACAGTAGGGAAATTTCAGGGTTGCTTCACCAGCTACAGAAGTTAGTGAACTTTCTGTGGTACTTGTTACACACAGAGCTGTTTCCATGTGCGGCCATAGCTGGTAGCAGATGTGGACTAACTGAGCGCTGATCATAGTGTTGGCCTTATGGCGGAAGAAGCAGATTAGATCTAACTGGATCTGGCTCCATAGACGGGAATCTCGAGCCAAATTCGGGGATGGAAACGCCAGTGTAACCAAAGAACCAATCAAGAACGCCCTCGGTCTGCTCCAACTTTCACTATGCACTCGCTAAAGCCAAATTTGGGGATAGAAGGCACTTGATTGGTCTATTATTAGGGCTCATATCTTGGCTATCTCGCTTCTGTCATCACCGTGTGTGGAATGATTGGAACAATATCTGAACTCTGAACATTGTAAAGCGCTTTGGGTGACCTTGGTCTGTAAAATGGGCTAAATAAATAAACATTACTTACTTACTTACTGACTATCAAAAAAAATAATCACCAGGTTTGCAACATGGTGAGTGTGACACAGACTTCCTTACATCCCCTTACATTTCAATGTTAGTTAGTGGGTTTGCATTGTCTAGTATGTGGAAATTTATTTTTTAACATGTTTTTAGATAGATCGATATTTTATTAATCCCCTTAGGATAACTTCAGGTGTCCAGCAGCAGAAGACTCATCGAGGTTTGTTGTACAGTCTGACAGCCGAAGGAACAAAGGATTTCTTGAGCGCAGTGATAGGAGCCTGTTGCTTCCATTACTCCTCTGAGCGGCCATAGCGTCATGCAGAGGGTGTCTGGAGTTACCCAGGATGCCCTGCATTAGAGTCCTGATCCTTCTCTTCATCAGAGACACATTTCTTGATCAGCCTGTCGAGCCGGTAACTGTCTCTCGAGGTCAGACTGCCGCCCCAACATGCGACCCCAAAGAACACGGCCTTTATGCCTTTTTTAAAAATGTAACTATGAATTAAGCTTTAGTCTTTATGACATGCTATAAACATTAATCGAAAGTGAAACAGTTATGAGAAGACTTATCATGAAAGCTACATTAAAAAAACATGGCTACATATGACCAAAGAACCCTTCAGTGGCTCCAGTGGTGTGGTGCTGGGAGTGACTGACCATGTCGTAGGCCGTCAGGACCTTACGGAGCAGCTCGGGCACCGGTCCCTGCGCCTCCATCGTGGGGTACGGTTCACTCAGATCCACCGTCACCTTCAGGGAGCGCTCGCTGTTCATGAGCCACGTGGACACGGTCAAGATGCACTGCTTCATGTTGGCAGCAGGGGTCAGGCCACACAGCTCTTTGAACGACACCATGGCATTCTGGGAAAAAAAAGAAGGGGGGAAAAGTGTCAAACGTGTAGTCAATAAGAGGAGCTAATAATTGTATAGGTCTTAAGGGGATTGAAGAAGGTGGTAAAGGAGTACGCAGGACCCAAAGCATCAGAGAGGCCCTCAAAGCACTGCTATGGCACGTCCTGTATCATTTTAAAGACCAATTTACATGAAAACAACCATATCATTTAGAATATTCTGAACCTTGAACCCAAAGGACCATATGATGCATATTGTTTTGACTTACACAGTAGCTGTCCCACTTAGATGACGATAGCTATGACTTCAATTTGTATTACTATGGTTTAATTTATTAGCAAATGGAAAATAAAATTAGTCTGAATCTGGTCATTTGTGCATTTGTGATCATTTAAACAGTATATTTTCCTTACATTTATTCAAAGGTGTAAGGCAGATGCTTTTGGGCAGTTGTGTGTAAACAGAATTGAATGGTAGTGAAATCCAATTCCACCTTGAATTGTGTGTAAAACGTGGAACCAAAACAACACAAGCCTCTAAATGAGCTCACTAGGTGCTCATTAAGATGTATGCAGCAGAAGCATAAACGTGCGTCATCCATTGAATCCCAATGTAATTAATAAGGACGTCTGAATGCCAATGTCTACAGCTGATAAGGATCTGACTGTGAATGAGAGCAGCTATGACAATGTCCTCTCAAACCTACGTCGTTTGGTCAATCATGTGTCGTCGAAATAATGAAATAATGGAAATTGTCACTATTCATCTAAACCATGTATTGCTATTTCTCTGTGGTAAAGCAGACATGTCAAACTCAGGCCAGAGACAATTTATATATCACCCCTGACAAAACTTTAAAATATCAATGTGCTACTATGCCTTATCATACTATAGCGTGTTCAACTGAAATGTGATATGAAGACCCATTTCTGTTGACCACTAGTTAGATATGTGTCAATAGACCTCAGCAGTGACATCACGAACATGTGCCAGACTAGGCTAAGCAAGCGTTGATTGGATATCATTCCATCAGGCTAATACAGCACGTGACCAGTTAGTACAATTATAGTTTTATAGCGATTCCATCTTCTTCCCCTTCATCCGTTGCCAGGTCGCGGGGGCAGCAGTCTAAGAAGAGACGCCCAGACTTCCCTATCCACAGACACTTCCTCCAGCTCATCCGGGGGGACCCCAAGGCGTTCCCAGGCCAGTTGAGAGACATAATCCCTCCAGCGTGTCCTGGGTCTTCCCCGGGGCCTCCTCCCGGGGAAGACCCAGGACCAAGTTTTAAAGCCTACCTTTCTATTTCTCATTTCACAGTGCCTTTGAGCATACTGTAAAATTCTACCATACATTTTTTCCCCATACTTTATTAAGACTTTCACACAAAATTCAAGACTTTTCAAGGTCTGGAAAACAGTGTTTCAAAATTCCATACTTATTAAGACTTTCAAGACTTGAGCAAGCACCCTGAGTGTGATAATAAGTCTTTATCTGTCTTCCAATACATCTCCTCCTGATATTTGGACCAGTTGTAATTGAATCCAAACCTACTAGAAAATAATATCCAAACTCCATTTATCAAAAGAGTAAAATATATATATATATATATATATATATATATATATATATATATATATATATATATATATATATATATATATATATAAAAAAGCTAAATAATACATAAATAATAAATACATAAATATAATAAAAGAAAACCACTGTAATATTTCTGGCTCCAACCAGCTGATGTTTTTAAATTTGGATCGAAATGAGTTTGAGAACCCTGTTGTAAAGAATTCAATTTATTTTTGTGTATTGACACTGGTCATCCCGCCCCCTATGAACCAATGGCTTCTATGTGTTTGTTAATATTATATTTCCTCAATTCAATTCAATGGATTGTTGTATAGCCCTGAATCACAACTGGTTATGTCGGAGGAGTTTACGAAGTTGAGCCGATTCGCCAACACAGATCAGAAAATCAAAAAGTTCAAACAAAAAGATCCATTGGTCCATAAGAGGAAGCTGACCATAAATGTCTATAAATGTCCGTAGATGTCTATAAATGTCCTTAAATGTCCTGGATCAACATCACCATCACCATCATCAAACAGTTCAAACAGCTTCTTTCTTGAATCTGTTGTTGGTGAATCGACAACTTTGTAAAACCCTCTGAGATGACTGCTGTGTGATTCAGGGCTGTTCACAAATCCGTCGAATTGATAGATTAATGTCATGCAAATCTTCTTTTGAGTATTATCCCTCTCAATCATTATTACACTGCAAAAAGTTATGAAATTTGTTTTGCAATATGTACTTTATTTCATGACTAATTTTGACTGTGTTACAACAGGATTTGCAAATGGAACAAGCACCATTATCTTGTTAAAGTTACAAGAAATGTCTCCCTTGAAATGAGAAAAATAAAGCAGCAGTTCTTGACATTCTTCTTGAACTTAGACGAAAAGGCTTTGTCCCATTGGCAAATCTTGTTTTAAGACCATAATATACGTCACAATGTAAGGCAAGGCAAGGCAAGGCAAGGCAAGGCAAGTTTATTTGTATAGCACAATTCATACACAAGGCAACTCAAAGCGCTGAACAAGATAGCATTAAAATCATAAATAATCTACTCAAATAAAGTGAAAAAACACTCGATTCAAGCAATTATTACCTCATATTTTGTCATTTTTTCCAGTGTATATTGCTAAGGCCAAGAATAAGAATATTATCAGCATCCAAGCCTCCTCTGCAAGTCTTTCTTAAGTCACCCTTTCACCTCCTCCCGTCTGATCTTTCCATTTTGTTTCATTTACGAGGGACAAAAGAGCTGTTGGTGCGATCATGTTCTCTCCCCTTTCTGACCTTGGGAAAAGACACCGTGTTAATATTCATTCTGAGTCCGCACACCTCCAGTTCTGTCCATCCATCCGTCTGCCGTTTGGTAACCACCTCAGCTTTCTCCCCCTCCCTCAGCCATTCCACCCTGTGCATTACCCAGACCAAGACACCTAAGCACATAATCGCCACAGCAGCGTTAGCATGCTATACAAGAAAGCAGCGTAATGAATGTGAGAATGCATGGGCGAGCAGAGATGTAGAGGCTAGAATGGGAGAAATCTATTAGGAGGGAACAAGGAGGCACACACACACAGAGACACACACGTACACACACAGAGAGAGAGACACACATGTACACACACACAGAGAGAGACACACACGTACACACACACAGAGAGAGACACACACGTACACACACAGACTGGTGAGAAAGCACTGTGGGAATTGGCTTTCTCCCCGGACAGGACCTCCAGGCCTCTTAAGACGGGCCCCACACCACACTGCGACCTTTTGAAAAGACAGACTCGATCCTTGCGGAGACACTCAGGGCTTGCTAACGACGCGTGGGGAATACCAGAAAAAAACGTGTTGTTAGACCGGGGTACGGGATTTTTAAGATTGAGATTGAGCGATGTTTTTTTGTGTCCCACAGTTGGGGAAATTTCAGTGTTGCAACGCTAGTAACAGAGCAGTAGGAATGAGGAGCACACAGCACGAGAAAAGTGAATATTGACTCTAAACTAAATTAATGTATAATCTCTAATTTAAGCATATTAGAGAAGCAAGTATAAAATATTTAGCTTTAGCATCATAGAGAGGGAAGTATAAAATCTGTAACTTTAGCATAAAAGAGGGAAGTTTAAATATCTAACTTTAGAAAGGTAAAGAAGCAAGTATAAACTCTCTAGTAAGTAAGTTACACAGACTTTCAACGCTATATAAAATGGAACCAGAGTATGTTACAGATGTCCTTCAGATGAGTCCCTATCTCTGAGAACAGTTTGAAACTATCATTAGATTTCACATGGATGAGTATTTTTAACTTCCCCTTTTTGTGGCCCAGATTTTGATAAGAAGCATCAACCTAATTCTGTGCGGGCTTATCGTGGTATGGGACACCACAGGAATGGGACAAGACATTATTATCCAGTCTGGTTATGTTGGGCTTGGACTAAAATGGTAAAAACGTTGGTGAGTTGTACAAGTACTAAGTAATCTTTATTCATATTTTACAGACTTTCACTCTTCACGCTTCAAGATAAATTGTGTATATGTTGCTTTTAAGGCTTGTTGCTTTCATAATTAGGTAAAGCTAAAGATGAAGGCTCTCTGAGCTAACTCACTTTGCACCTGTAGATGATCAAACTGTCCAAGAGATAATCTCCAGTTTGAGCTCCTCCACATGCAGCTTGGATGTACTACCCACTAGATTTCTGAAGTCTGTTCTGAGCAGTCTGTTACCTTCACTCACACAGATAGTAAACGTGTCCCTTCATTCTGGAATATTCCCAAAGGCCCTGAAAACTGCAGTCATCAGGCCCCTGCTTAAAAAGAGCAGTCTCGATGCTACGGTACTTAACAACTATCGTCCCATCTCAAATCTGCCATTTATGGGGAAAGTCCTTGAGAAAGTTGTCTACCAACAGCTAAATACATTTCTTATAATCAACAGCTCATACTATGAACCAATTTTCTTTGAGTCTGAAATTAAGATTAATAATAGTACAGGTAATAAAGTAACTCAAAGTATGTTCTGAAATCTAGTTTAGTGATTCAATTAGTTTCCACTTGCATCTACATCATTTTTGGGCTTTGATTCTTTAGATCAGCTTTTTTTTTTGTCATTTCGTACATGACATGAAAACCCAAACCAAACCAAAATACTCAAAGACAATTGTATATATAAGTCCATAACAAAAGCACCAAAATAAATAAATAATAATAATAATTCAATTGAACATAGAAGTATGCTTAAATAAAATAATAGTAAGAATAATTGTCCTAATAATACATTGTCTTGTTTTGTGTACGAAAGGGAGTGAGAGTATGCAAAAAAATATAACAGTATACACACAAGTTTTCTGACAATAATAATAATAAAAATATGAATACGTCATTTGTGTATCGTTTTCAAGAACTCAAAGAGGCTTCACAATTCAGGA